GAACTCCAGCGCGGGTAAGGCCGGGGCGCCCCCCTCTGCAGCCCAGGTGGCTTTTGCATTCCTTGCAAGGTCCAAACCCACCTCGCCCGCGGCCGCCTAGCCCCGGAGGCGGGGGCGCGGAGCCCGCAGGAATGGTCCCGCCGAGCCCTTTCCTGCAGGAGGAGGTAACTCCCTCGCTAAGGAGGCGCCCCAGCGTGTGCAGGCTGTGGGAATGGGAAGAGATACGCGACTCTGCCCTGACACGTTATTATTCCCCTCGGGGAGCAGCCATGTTTGTGGGTTTAATTTGACACTTGAAGGCACCTCTTCGCTCCCAAGGGGCGTAGCGCAGCCTTTGGACTGTGGCTTCCTGCGGAACGACGGGCGTTGCGACGGACGGCCCCCCAAGCCGAGCAGGCTTTTGCACCCCCCAAATCTAGATGCTTTAATAATTGGTAAGCCCGACAGAGTTTGAGAGGAAGAGCGAGCTCAGGTCGGGCTTTAGATGGTGGGCCATGTGCCTGGTGAATGGGTTTTAGCAGTCATTCGTGGTTTGTTAATATATAAACCGTGAAAGGCACTAATTGTGCCAGGCTGATAATCATGTGCTTTTTCCCTGAGGTTAAGCACATTCTTAGTTTTGTTTTGAGCGTAAGAAACTAGTTACAGTTCTGAAATAGAATATTTCCTGAATAATCCGATTGTGTTTCTATGTACGTATCTCTGAAAAAGCTCTTGTGTAAGCCGAGTTCTCGATTCTTTGCCTAGGACTTCAGGCCAAAACAGAAAAGGGTAAGTTCTGTTTTTGCAGGGGGAAAAAATAGCCTTTTTTATACTAGGGCGCTACCATTCCCTGCAGTGCGGAGTGCGCCAGGTGCTTTTCGTGGCAGTGTTATTTAACCCTCAGGACCCCATGAAATGATTGCAATCCTGACTTGCAGAGGAGGGAGCTGAGGTGGGAGGTGACCATGCTCCCTACACAAGCAGACAGCTCACAGGGCCACAGGCAGCGCTGGAACCCTAGTATGTCTCACCTCAGATTTCACGTCCTTCCACTTCAGCAAAGCTGCCCCCAATAAGAATATTTTACTGGGTATGGCGCTTTCCACTTAATTCTGTGAATTCTCATTTCTCAAAATAGCTTTGTGAGGGAGTTGGAAGAGGTGCTTGCTCCACTGCAATAGGTGAAGAATTTGAGAGATTGAGTTTATAGTTGATCCAGGCTAGCCCCTGAGTCAGGAGGGCTGTGATCCAGAACTTGTCATTTCTAGTTCTGTGCTTTAGTATTTGATAACATCTAGAAAATTTTACACAGAAGTTGAGAAGTCTGAGTAACCGAGGGATTAATATTTTTCAGATGCCTCTTTTCTTGCCTCTTTTCTCCGATTGCAGCACTGATATTTCCTCTCCCATGACACTCTTTTTTCCTCGCATTAGTATGGTCGCTCTGTGCGGAAGGACAAGATGTGGGAACTTAACCGCTGAGTGGTAATAAAAGCTGATGTTCTCCACATCTGTCAGATGGGCGTAAAGAAATTAAGAAAGACTTGGTTCAAGACTTGCATCTCCTCCTGGAAAATGGCTGGATTTCTGTTTGATGATTCTGATAACTAGACACACTGAAGGAATTAAGCAACTGCTCTAATTTAGGAGAATTGACTTATCTTGGGCAAGACAAGCTAACTTACACCACTAAAGTAGTGGCTGGAAAGCCAAATGAATCTTTGAAGGCTGCAGATTGAGTCCCTAGAGTGAGGAAGGTGCTTTCTGTGACGGGCAGGGCACAAAAGGTGCATCGTACATTTAAACAATTTTCTCTTGTCTTGAAGTCCCAGTTCTCTGCTGCCTGTAACATCTTTCATTATTGTTTCACAACCAATTAACTCATGGAATTAGGTAGTAATTGGAGTTGAGCAGAGTGTCATTTGAACCTTCTAGTATTTGTGCTATTGATAATGCTATAAGTAAGGTAGCAGGCCATTTGTGTAGTTAGTTGAGCAAGTGGTCTCTTTCTCTTGAAAGTATGTGAAAGGTAGTATGTACATTTTTGTGTTTCCTTTTGGCTTTTAGGGCTAATGAAAATTCATAAGATGGAAATGAGAAATTGGGTGGGGCAGTTGAATGTTGACCAGTTTAAGTAGCTAAATGTACTGTTTTTGTTTCTAATGTTTCATCTGAAGAGAATTGTGCAGACTCAGCTTTCACAGATCTATCCTAGAATCTGGTTGTTGTGTGAAAGTGCAAACAGTGGAGGTAAATTTTAGTCAAATAGTAAAAGGGAAGAGTTGAACAATTTTAAGTTTAGGATTTGATTGGGAAAGACAAGGGATTGGGTAGCTCTTTGTAGAATGGAATTCTTGGAAAGAAAAAGTGGCTGGGTAGGAATGAGGAAGAGTATGAAAAATAGAAAGGAGTCCCCTGTTATGGGTCAGATGGCAAAAAATATTTTTGGCAGAAAAAACAGAGGCACTTCTCTCTAGAGGCGAGCTGCAGCCTCAGTGCTCTGTCTCCATGTTAGCCATGTGCTCTGTAATATCATTTGATGTACCGTTTCCCTCCCACTCCCAAAGTCATAAGACCTCATTATGCCTTGTAAAATGTTTCTCACGCATCCCTTTCCAGATGGCTTAGAGGTAAATTAAGTTCCTGTTAACTTCTTCAGGATATATTTTGGCTATATGCCTTTACTTGCCATGTGTGCTTTTATGAGTAGGAATTAAATGAAGAGTTGGCTAGACTGTACTGTTGAAGTTGTCTCGACTTGCAGTGTTTTTCCCTGTCACTCTGAGGAAGTCTCCTTCTCAACTTGATGCTTTTGATGGATGTGCCGAGCACTTATACCGGTTAGCCCTCTTCTTCCTACTAGTTTATTTGTAGGACCATACCAAATGCCTGACTTGTGTAAAAAAAAAAAAAAAAAAAAAGAA